GTTCAGGGCCCTATACAGTATATTGTGACGTATCTCGTATTGGACTTGGTGCAGTATTGATGCAGGGTGGCAAGCTTATTACATATGCTTCGCGGGAGTTAGAGATTCACGAGAAGAATTATCCAGTTCATGACTTGGAACTAGCAACCATTGTTCACGCGCTGAAGATTTGGAGGCACTATCTATATGGCGTGTCGTGTGAGGCGTTCACGGATCATAAAAGTTTGCAGTATTTCTTCAAGCAGAAGGAGCTCAATTTGAGGCAGAGAAGGTGGTTGGAACTATTGAAAGACTATGATATCACCATCTTGTGGTGGCCGATGCTTTGAGTAGGAAGTCACCCAGTATGGGTACCCTTGCATATATTCCAGTCGGTGAGAGACCTCTTGCTTTAGATGTTCAGGCTTTGGCCAATCAGTTCGTGAGGTTGGATATTTCTAAGCCCAGCCGTGCTCTAGCTTGTACAGTCGCTCGGTCTTCCTTGTTTGAGCGTATCAGGGAACGACAGTATGATGACCCTCATTTGCTTGTCCTTAGGGACACAGTGCGGCACGGTGATGCCAAAGCCGGTTACGGTTGGGGATGATGGAGTTTTGAGGATGCAGGGTCGTGTTTGTATGCCTAATGTGGATGGACTTCGTGAGTTGATTCTAGAGGAGGCCCACAGTTCCTGATATTCTATTCATCCGGGTGCCACTAAGATGTATCAGGACTTGCGGCAGCATTACTGGTTGAGGAGAATGAAGAAGGATATAGTTGCACATGTAGCTTGGTGTCTGAATTGTCAGCAAGTAAAGTACGAGCATCAGAGACCTGGTGGTTTGCTTCAGAAGATAGAGATTCCTAAGTGGAAGTGGGAGCGTATCACTATGGATTTCGTTGTTGGACTCCTACGGACTTAGAGGAAGTTCAACGCAGTTTGGGTTATTGTGCATATACTGACCAAGTCAGCGCATTTCATTCATGTGGCAGTTTCCTATTCTTCGGAGCGGTTGGTCGAGATTTATATCTGTGAGATCGTTCGTATTCATGGTGTGCCCGTGTCTATCATTTCTGATCGGGGTATGTAGTTTACCTCGTATTTCTGGAGGGCAGTATAGCGTGAGTTGAGTACGTGAGTCGAGTTGAGCATAGCATTTCATCCTCAGACGGACGACAGTCCTAGCGTACTATTCAGATCTTGGAGGATATGCTCCGCGCCTGTGTTATTGACTCTGGAGGTTCTTGGGATCAGTTCTTGCCGTTAGCGGAGTTTGCCTACAACAACAGCTATCAGTCGAGCATCTAGATGGCTCCCTATGAGGCATTATATGGTAGACGGTGTCGATCGCCGGTTGAGTGGTTTGAGCCGGGTCAGGCTCGATTGTTGGGTACAAATTTAGTGCAGGATGCCTTGGATAAGGTTAAGATCATTCAAGATAGACTTCGTACAGCTCAGTCCAGGCAGAAGAGTTATACCGACCGTATGGTTCGTGATGTGGCATTCATGGTCAGAGAGAGAGTGTTGCTTCGGGTGTCACCCATGAAGGGTGTGATGCGGTTTGGGACGAAGGGCAAGTTAAGCCCTAGGTTCATCGGGCCCTTTGAGATCCTTGTCGAGTAGGAGAGGTGGCCTAAAGACTCGCGTTGCCACCGGGTTTATCAGCGGTGCATCCAGTGTTTCATGTGTCCATGCTTCTGAAATATCACGGCGATCCATCCCACGTATTAGATTTCAGCACTGTCCAGTTGGACCAGGATTTGACCTATGTGAAGAAGTCGGTAGCTATTCTAGACCGGCAGGTTCGTCAGTTGAGATCGAAGAGTTATCCTTCGGTTCGAGTGCAGTGGAGAGGTCAGCCTATTAAGACAGCTACCTGGGAGTCCGAGTCCGATACGGAGCAGATATCCCCATCTTTTCACCGGCTCAGGTAATTTTCTATATCCGTTCGAGGACGAACGATTGTTCTAGAGGTGGAGAATGTGACGACCCAAAGGGTCATCTTATGTTTTAGAACTCGATTCCGTGTTCTGAGGTCTTCAAAACCTTATTTTATCCCTCCTCGATTTGCGTGCGCAGTCCGGGCATGTATCCGGAAAGCTTCTTGTGAAAAATTAAAGAAATAACAATTTTTGGCCTAAAAAGTTGATTTTTGTTGACTTCGGTAAACGTTTTGGGTAAACGGACCCGGGTTCTAACGGTCCCGATGGGTCCATAGTAAAATATGGGACATGCGCGTATGCCCGGAATTGAATTTCGAGGTCCTTAGCCCGAAAAATGAATTTTTTGATGAAAATTGTAAAACTGAAATTATAAAGGTTTTAAGAATTTGGTTAATAATTGAACTTGTTGATACTGGGTCCGTGTTTTGGTTCCGGAGCCGGTACAGGTCCGTTATGATATTTATACCTTATCTGTGAAATTTGGTGAGAAAAGGGACTGATTTGACGTGATTCGGACCTTTGGTTGAGAAAATAGAAGTTTTGAAACTATCTTGAAAATTTCATGCAATTTGGTGCTAAATTCGTAGTTCTATGTGTTATTTTGGCGATTTGATCGTACGAGCAAGTTTGTATGATATTTTTAGACTTGTGTGCATATTTGGTTTGGAGCCCCGAGGGCTCGGGTGAGTTTCCGATAGGCTACGGAGTGATTTGGACTTAAGAAAAAATTGCTGGTATGCTTCAGGTCTGCAGACTTCGCAATTGCGAGGTCTGGCTCGCAAATGCAAGCCTTGCATTTCCGAAGAATGTTTGCATTTTGCAAAGCAGGGGAGGGGACTGGGTAGTTTGCATTTGCGAAGAATAGGCCGCATTTGCGGAAGTCCAGGTTAGCGTTTGCGACCGGGACTTCGCATTAGCGATGGCTGCAGAAATGCGAGGAGTTAGCATTTGCGATACTTTTCTCGCATTTACGAGCTTCGCAAATGCAGCTTAGGTCGCAAATACGACATCTGCAACTTAGGAATTTCGAAATTTGGGGATTTAGACCTCCAATTGAGGTCGGATTCCAAAACCAATTGTATATCCGGGCTCGGGGGTGAATGGGTAATCAAGTTTTGGTCCGAATTTCGGGTTTTGACCAAGCTGGCTCGGGGTCGGTTTTTGACTTTTTGGGGGAAATGTTGGAAAACTTATACTTATGCATTGGAATTGATTTCTTTAGAAATAATTGATGTTATTAAGTTAATTATGACTAGATACGAGTGGATTGGAGGTGGAATGTAGAGGAAAAGCGATAACTGAGCGTTGAGTTGGTCGTTAGATTGAGGTAAGTGTTGTGTCTAACTTTGACTCGAGGGATTAGGGATCCCCGACTTAATTGCTATGTGAAAATCCATATGTGTTGCGTATAGGTGAGGTGACGAGTACCTATGCGCCACCAAATTATCTGTTTAGCCTGTTTCTTTCCCCGTTCCTAATATATTGTCTTCCTGTCTTAACTGCTACATGCTTATTGTTGCTTCCATGTTTAATTGATTCTTGTTAGATGTTATTTTCTTCATTGAAGGTATTAATTATTCCGTAGTTTCGTTGTATTACATCATTGATTTAAGTTGGTTTACCGGTGTTTCATGGTATAATTTGGTTGGTCTCGCTGTGTAGTATCAGTTGAGTGAACTTTCATATTGTATAGCCTTCTGTTTGCTTTGGTTTGAGGCTTAAATATTGTGGAGGGTTTGAGCCAAATTGTGAAATTTCTATTCTTGTTGTGTGATTGGTAGTGATATGGTGGGATCGGGTTGCACGCCACAACAGGAGGAATAAGGGTGATATATTGAGGAGGAATAAAGGTGAAATGTGATTGTCTGGTGGGATGGGATTGCACGCCGCAACAGAAGGAATAAGGGTGATATATTGAGGAGTAATAAGGGTGGATTACTATTGTCTGGTGGGATCGGGTTGCCGCGGAACAGGATGAATAAGGGTGCTATATTGAGGAGTAATAAGGGTGGATTGGTATTGTACGGTAGGATCGGGTTGCGCACCGCAACAGGAGTAATAAGGGTGGATTGATACGGAGAAATAAGGGTGAATGTTCATATTGTTACTGATTATATAGTGGGATCGGGATGCGCGCCGCATCAGTTTGTCGTTTATGTATTCTTCTTCTGCTGTGAGTTTATTCTGTAGCTTTGAACTCTCTTAAGGATTGGTTATAGCTGAGTATTGATAAGATATTTGAGTACCGTATCCGTTTTTTATGCAAGTTCCTGTTTCATTTTGTCTCGTACTTCCTTTTTCCTTTATTATATACTCTATATAGGTTATATTGCAAATGCCCCGCCGCAGCCTCGTCACTACCTCGTCGAAGTTAGGCCCGGCACTTACCAGTACATGGGGTCGGTTGTACTGATACTGCACTCTGCACTTTCTGTGCAGATTTCGGAGCTGGTAGTGGCTGATCGAGAGGTCGGTTGCAGGCATTTCATTTAGGAGACCCAAGGTAGTCCTGCTGGCGTCCGCAGGCCCTGGCGTCCCCTCCTATGTTTCTACTTTCCTGTTTTCTTTTCTTTCGAGACAGATGTAATTTCTTTCAGACCAGTATTTGTTGTAATTCGTAGCATGTACGTGGATTGTGACACTAGTTCTGGGTGGTAACAGTTTCGGTATTGTTAATAGTATATAGATAGCCGGTTAATTATGTACTTCCGCATTTATTTCAGTTTGATTTAGCTTTGTTAATTTTAATCTCTGAAATGTAAAGGAAAAAGGTGAATAAAACTCTAACGTTGGTTTGCCTAGCGAGTACGATATTATGCGCCATCACGGTCCCGATGGTGGAAATTCCGGGTCGTGACAGATACACATTGATTATATACCAAACTTATACTTTATTCTTTTATGTATAATTTTCCCTCAAATCTATATTTTAATAGTCTTGATATCAATTTACGAAATTGTGTATACATAACTTGGCATACACATGGAGCGCACGTGTCGAGCCTAAAACATGTCAACTGTTTTACAGAAAAACCAGAAATTGAACACAATAATTTAAGAGCAAAAGCTCAAGGATAAATAAGAGAACCTTAGCTGAAACAGTAGATAATGATAAACTTTTATCTCAGATTTATTACAAAAGCTAATGAAGTTCACAATTATCAGTTAAGTTGCTAATCAAAGGTAGTTACCGTCTTACTCACAGATACATGATGGATGCTAAATTTACATCATACAGTTTCACTCAACTAGTCAAAAGTTTCCTCAAGATGGTTTCACAAAAACTAGCATTGTAAATTAACAAATGTCCAGCATTAGGAACCTCATGATATTGAGTCCACGGAAGCTTCTCTGCTAGATAACGGTTGAGTTCACGTGGGATAATTCTGTCATCGTGTCCTTGCCAAAGATGGACAGAACCTTCGTTATTTGGAAAAGGATTTGTAATCTCCGTTGGAGCAAAGTCCCAGTTTCCAAAAGCTATTATCATGTCCCGATACAAACATTCAAACTCGCCCTGCTGTCGAACTTTTTCCTGGAGAAAAACATAGAGAAGAGAACAAGCAACCAAAGATCACATCTTGATATGACCTCATCGAAATGTTTATTTGGCTAGATATTTAAAAACATATCATCAGGGAAGGAATACAACAGCTTCCCAAATAGGAAACATCATGATGTTTCTTGTTACTCTTGGCATAAAGTATTGGGATCCCTACATCTCTAGGCGACATCTTTTGTAGAAAGGACTAAGTTTATATACATCTCTTTGCTTTGTATACTTGTTTTATAACAGGGAAATCCTCTTTCTTTAATTAATATAATCTTTCTCTCTCATCCAAAATGAAAGTGAGAATCATTTACCTGACCAGGACTAGGGGCACCTGATAACTGTTTCACTATTTCTAGATCTGGAGGACTAAATATGGCCATATTCCCTTCCGTAATACTTAAAGCGCGGAACCACTTTTGGTTCATCCACCAATGAACCAGCCATGGGGCATAATGTACAATCCGAAATGTTCGCTGATCTTGAGGAAGCATCTTTCCCAAAGCTTCTTTTGATAGTTTTGCAGGATAACAGGACCACCAGTAATTTACAAATGGAACAACAAGGGCAACTCCAGCCAACCTGTGCGGACATTCAATTTGTCGAATAAAAAGGACTGAAAATGGAACTCCTACCGTCCTACGGGTTTCTAATTTAAACAATATGAAACAGGGTGAAGGTCATTTCTGAAAATCATAGGAATGTAAAAAGATGAAAATGATACCTATGCGGTATGTACTTTAGGCAACTCCACAGAGGATAGGCTCCCATGGACAAGCCAAGCGCATAGAACTTGGGTCCTAGTTGCAACTTATCAGCTAGCTCCTCAATGTCAAATGCTTCACTCTTTACTGAGCGCTTTGGATGTGGATCACTCTCTCCATAACCAGCACGATCATATTGTAGGAGATATATTTGTAGCTCTTGTATGAGGTCCTGGGTACTTAAAACAGAATCAGCAAAATGAAACACAAATTTCAAGTACTAAAGGTTTATTAAAGACGATCTCCAATTCTAAGTATTAAAAAAAACTATATTAATGTTGCAAATCCAACTCCCATCGTAAGTTTATAAGTTTCTCCATCTTCTCAACATGAGGTATAAGAAATAATAGACGAACTGCTTCTTCCCATATGTACTAGCTACTAAAATGAAGACGCTAAATATTCAGTTTTATAACCTTTCATCTGCTAAATTTCATATATACCTGAGAAATAGGTAACTTCAAGTCTTTAGAACTATCAAAGCCATGAACAATAATGATCTTGTACTTTGCCTTCTCCTTGGCAATGCCTTCCTCTTTGTAGGATAAATATCTCCCATCGCTGAGTTGGATCCTTGGCGAAGTCACTGGAGGACCACCCGGTGAGCCACAAACTTTTGGAGGGGGAGGCTTAAGTAATGCCAAATAAGCCCATCCCAGTACTCCAACTGTTGTTGCTACTGCTATTTGTGCAATCATAACTGAAAAGAGAAGGGATAAATAAGAGAATAGAGAAATGGTGTGCAAAACTAAATAGACAAAAACTACTAGTAATGAGGACACTCGAATGCGGCAGACAATGGAATAGTGATAACACATAACGGGTAATGGCTGCTGCATCCGCACTACCATTCTCAGCATAACCACAGCCAATCATCTATCCTAATACAACATAAATGCTATACGTCACAGAAATGTGAGTCATAAACTTATTGTGCCTCGCTCGTCTGTTGACTTTGCTGCCACAAACATTCTGCCGAGAGCCACCCTGCCACATTTGCTTGCAGCTCACTCCTAAATTACGAGAAATCCAAGCAAAGTCTATCTGACCTAATGCATATTCATCTGGATAGAGGGCATGTGTCTTAAGAACGCTATCAAACATAATTTTGACAGTAGAACTCAGATTTCTAATCACACCTCTGGAAGGCACTTGCCATTAGATGTCATACAACAAGAACAGATATGAGAGAAGTGTTTAGTAGGTAGCTAAGGCACAAGTGAAGCTTGGCCACTATAAGGCATTAAAAGATAGGACCCAAAAAAGCCATATAGCACTTTTTGGTGACAGATCATTGTGTTCACTATCATGCTCGAAAAAACTTTGCAATTGTACTTCAAATGCTCTGCATCTTACAAGATTCTGCCACAACAACAAATCCAGTGTAATCCCACAAGTGGGGTTTGGGGAGGGTAGTGTGTATGCAGACCTTGCCTCTACCTTTAAGAAGGGGCTGTTTCCGGTAGACCCTCGCTCAGGAAAGATAAAAGGAACGAGCAAGATTCTGCCACTACAACAAATAATAATTTATCATCTAAAATATGCAATGCAATTGTAATAACAAGTTTCTCACGTAAAAAACCACTCCTGATTAGGAGTGGAAAATGGGCAGGTCGGGCCGGATATGGGACGGGTCAAAAGCGGGTAATGAAAAAACGGATAAATTTTCTGACCCGGCCCATATTTAATACGGATAAAGAACGGGTTAACCGATGCATAATACTTCTCGAATATGATCACCTTTGAGAGAATTCCTAGTCTTCCAAACTTGAGGAACCCCAATTTGAGGCTTTACGAATATAAAAGTTAAACCCATTAGTTATCCATTGGTTATCCATTTTCTAAATAGATAATATGGTTCTTATACATTTTTGACCCGTTTTTAAATAGTTCATTATCCAACTCATTTTTTAGTGGATAATATGTGTGGTTAACTGTTTTCTTTTAACCATTTTGCCACCACCGCGCCTGAGCATGTTTCTACAAGTACAACATGAAATGGCACACATCAGAACATCCTAGGTAACGGAAATGGCACACATCAAAACGTTTTAAGTTTTGATTTGATATGAAAACTGAGTTTCAAATTTCAGTAAGCCACACAATGGCTTTCAGTAAGAAGTCCGACCCCATTATCACAGTAAAGATCTTAAATCTAATGGTTCAAAACTGCATCTGCTGAATTTAATGTTAAAAGAATACAATTAACCAAATAATCAAGAAGCCAATGACTACAGTCTACAGGGCATTCCCCTTTGGAAACATAAATTAACACATTCAAGAAAAACACATCTATCATTAGCCCCTCATTTAAGCAAATTGTTCATCATATGCTCATTTCAGAATACACACAAGCAGAATATTCTTTCATTTCTCCATTTTTCTTTACAAAATGGAGAAATAAAAACAGCACAAGGAAAGCAAATATCAGATTAGTAGCAACTATCCCAAATTAGTACAAAAATCAGCTGAAAAGGTGTAACACAACATTTACAATTGAAATCAGCAGACCAATCCTAAATTTCAATGATTTAAGAAAACAACAAAAAAGAAGGCAAAATTGTTGAAAAAAGATCAAATATTGAAAGCGAACCCACTTGAAGAAAGACGAAATGGGGTGTTATTCTTGGATTTTCTGGTGTGAGCTCTAGCAGAAGCAGCTGTTTTGATTTACAGCCAGTAGAACAAAGTATTAATATGTATAAATGAGAGAATGAGCAGTGGGTAATTCTGTGGAAGGAATTATGCTGCCAATCCACTTCAAAAGAGCAGTAAAATAAAACACTTGAAGAGGAGGAAGAGCCCACAGGGATTAATAACACTACAGTACTATGTCAGCATCTAATCTAGTAAGTAGTATATGAGAATTTCAAGTTAGGACGGCATTGTTGTCTTGATTTTATTTGATGTTGTCTTTGTCCCAATGGAGAACGAATTTTTCACCCAAATACCGTAACTTTTTTTTTTTCGGGTTCAAAAATACCGAACCTTACTAAAGGCTACCTAATCCCCCGTTTGGCCAAGCTGCAAAAATCAGCTTATTTTAATAAGTGCTTTTTTTTAAAAGTGCTTTTCTCAAAAATAATTTTGGTGAGAAGCAGTTTGTGTTTGGCTAATTAGTTTGAAAAGCACTTATGAGCAGCAATTAGTGTTTGGCCAAGCTTTAAAAAACTGCTTTTAAGTGTATTTTTCTCAAAAGTGCTTCTCAAAAAAGTGCTTTTGGAGAGAAGCTACTTTTTTCTGCTTCTCCAAAACTGCTTCTGCTTCTCCTCAAAAGCAGTTTTTTTCCTTCCAAAAGTTTGGCCAAACCCCTCAATTTTTGGCCAAATATGCTTTTGACAAAAAAAAAAAAGCACTTTTGGCCAAAAAAAGCTTGGCCAAACAGGCTATAATGCTCCGTCTCTGGTATTTAATTGCGTCCTGATTTAAGAGAAATAGAAATACATTTGACACGTATCATCATGATATTTTTATAGCGAATAAATCAAAACTATTTCTTTTGTCACGTCCAGATCGTTTAGTATAAACTTACTAAAAAACTATTATAGACATATAAATCTGAAATTTTCACCTTTAATCTCAATCTCAAATCTAAAATTTGATCAAGAACCACAAATCTTCTCCAAACTCCCTAAAATTTGAGATTTAATTTTCGTTTGGCTATAGATTTTGGCTACTATTTTTTTCAAAACATCTTGAAAAATATGTATTGTTTGTTCATAGAATATGATCAGTTTTGAAAAAAAAAAAGTTACAAAAAATTTCAAGTTCCTCTTGGGTGAAATTTTTTCTTCCACTCACATTACTTCAACTTTTTTTAAAATAAAATACATGTCCAAACACAACTTCAACTTCCGAAAATTATTTCTATATACAACTTCAATAACTCTTTTTTCAAGTTTCAACCAAATTTATGTCCAACTACTAGCTTAGACTCTTCAAAAGATCCCACAATAAAATTCAATAGCACTCACTCGAAACAAATCACTACTTTCCCCACCTATGTCGTAAAAATATCTGAAATACTCCATTAACGAGTATTGAAGCTTGAGCTTTAAGTTTAAAAAACTCGGAGTTTGTGAAGGTGTGATTTTGTTTCAAGTGAGCGTTATTGGTTATTGTTAGGGATCTTTTGAGGAGTCTAAATATCAATAGTGAGTTTCGAAAAGATTTGACGTGGTTTTGGAGGAAATTTTATTATTGTATAGACTAGACTGAGACGTACTTGTAACTAGTTGAGGGACTAAAGTGTAAATAGGAATGAGGAGTTAATTGGAGTCGGTTAAGTGGCTTATAAAAGGGACCACTCACGTGTAATGAACACCAAAGAAAGAAAACTAGCTCATCTTTTTTATCTCATTTCTGCATCTCTCCATTTCTTCCCTCCTTCTCCTTCTCCTTCGATATTGTTTTGCTTGCATGTGTACTATTCCTAATGAATTGAGCTGAATTTATCATGGTATCAGAGCGGCGATCGTGAATTCATCAGAATTAGGAAGAAATTTGAAGAATCGAAGCTCGTTGGAACTCTGATCTAATCAGCTATGGCAGTAAATGAAGTCGCCTCACTAGATCACAATCATCCGCTATTTTTGCAACCCTCAGATGCTGCTAGACTTGTACTAATATCGCTCAAGCTCACAGGGCCGGAAATTTACGCGCTATGGAGCAGGTCGATGAAATTGGCGCTCCGCAGAAAGAGTAAACTAGGTTTTGTGGACGGAACTTGTGTGAAGAGCACGTACAGAGGCGAATTGGCAGAACAGTGGAAAAATGCAATGCAATTATGTTGTCGTGGATATGAAGCACTGTAACGAGTGAATTGATGCCAATCATTGTCTATGCTTCGAATGCGAGAAAAGTCTGGAGCGATTTCCAGGAGAGGTTTGATAGATCAGATTTGACTAGAATTTATCACCTTTGGACAACATAATCATTACAACATTGAGACAAGGTACTGACTCTATAACTACTTGTTACTCTAAAATGAAGGATTTATGAGATGAACTTGATGTATTAGTACTCCTGTCCTCGTGTGATTGTGAGCGGTCTAGATCTTCAGTTGAACATTTGAGGTCACAGTGTTTGCTGCACTTTCTTATGTGACTAAATGAAAGCTATAGTGATATAAGGAGTAATGTGCTTGAAAAGAGGCATGTAGTGACTGTTAATGAAGCGTATGCAATAGTCAGTTAGGAAGAGAGTCAAAGGTCCTTAGGTTTGGTTGATACACATAGGGAACCACTTACCATGCTAGCAGGAAGGGGTCAATATTTTAAAGGTAAAAGGCCGGGGATCATTTGTGAGCATTGTGGATATAAAGGTCATCTTAAGAAAAACTATTTTAAAATAACTGGCTATCTAGCCGATTTCAAAAGTAAAAGAAAAAGTAGACTAGAGGAGGAAAGGTTTATATCAACTGTCACACATCCTTTTTACCCGAAGGGGATATAAGGGAGTTTTTCCAATTTAAGTGACATTAATCGAAATAGGATTATTTATTCAATTTTAGAGTAGCCACTTGGGATAATTTTATGGTGTCCCAAGTCACCGATTTATTTTAAATCCCAAATCGAAGAAAATTTGACTTTGTTTAAAGTCTGCGAAGCTAGAAAGACTAGGTAAGAAATTCTGTTAACCCGTGAGAAGGGGTTAAGCATTTTTGGGTTCCGTGATTTTAGCACGGTCACTTAGCAATTTATACTTGGCCTATTTTGTCTAATTACTCATTTTAGGTCCTATGTTTATTTTACCTTTTAACCGCTATTAATAACTTGAATATCCGTATTAACTTAAGATGAGTTACGCGTACATATACTCGATTCCTAACATTTAGTTTATTTAAGAAAAAGGTTTGGTCAAAGTTGCGCGAACACATACTTTGAATTTATTTGAAAGAATCGTAATCATGATAGCAATTTAAAAACCGCGCCTAAAGCATTTCTACGAGTATATGATTAATGAATTTTATGTACTAAATATTTGACCATGGTCACGCGAACGTATACCTTGGTTTATCTTGGGCATCACAACAATGTCACACATGCGAGTACATAATTGTAATAATTAATTCAATTTAAAGTGTACCTAAAGTTGTGATTATGTCTCTAAGCTAAGTACCCCATGTCATTTAACTAGGTGTAAAGATTCAAAAACTATGTGAGACAGTTATTTAATTAATGGGCCAGCTTACGTATTAACTACCAGGCAGGCCCAGATTTAAATGTTTGGGGCCTGACAAGGACTGAGTCCAAATGGACTCTAGCCCAAGACATATATTGTCTATTACTCAAACAACTAATGAATTTAAATCTAAAGGACTTGGGCCTGACTGAGTCTGGATGAATCGGGCAAGACAATGTTATTAAGCATTCAATCAGTTAAACACATTTAATTCAGGAAGATTCGGGCCTACTAATGAGTCCAAATGACTCTGGCCCAATATCCATTTGTGGACAAATAAATGAATTTAAAAGATAAGATTTGGGCATGATAATAATGAGTCCAAGTGAACTCTAGCCCAATGCATATTTGTGTGAAGGAGTTTGAGAAAAAATTTTATAATGAAATTTGTAAAGTTTTACCTATATTTTGTTTATCTTTTAAAATAGAAGTAAAAAGGGTTTTTTAACAAATTGAAATTTTTGTTAAATTTTGGATAATTTTCCTACTGATTTGCCTAAGTCTTTATTTTCTTATGTCAAAGTGCTAGGTTTAAAGCTCATTTATATTTAAAAAGTATAAAGGCCATTGATCAATTTATTTTTTTAGTACAAAATCAGAATACAATTCCATGAACCTAATTGATTTTGGGCCTGAAAATGTATTATGGTTACTATTTAGCAAACTTGTAAAATTCGGTTTTTTATGACTTTAAACTAACAGCAATCAGAATTATTTGATTATTAAAAAAAATGGTATGGTAAAGTTGCTAATCTATTAAACTAATTTATCGCACAAGAAAATGCAGTAAAAATTAAATTATTACATTTTTGCTAACTGAACAATGATAACCAAACTGCATATTACTATTCTCACAAAATTTTCTAGAAAATGATTTCTGTGATACTGTTGCATACGAACATACAGATTTTATAAATGTATGAAGCTTTAGAATTTTTTTTTGCAATACTTAAATATAAAGCTAACATGACTTAAATCACCTAACAATGTAAATAACTAACTCTACACAAACTTACACCATACAACTTCAAACAACATGATTCATGCAGTATTCAAACAAATACATATTTATGAGAACCAACAAATGCAAGTCATGATGTAGCAAAAATGAAACTTTACATTTGTTGAGAAAAAAATACCTTGACAGCAGCAAGAAAAACAAACAGGTAAAGAAAATAGGTCTCTGAAAACTTGAGTAAGAGCAGTATCAAGAAAACCCAAACAGGAAACCAAAACAGCTTCAGATTAAAACCCAGAAATCCTAGAAAAAATAGTATGAAACCAGTAGGAGTTACTTGCTAAAAGTGAAAGAAAGAGACTCCTAAAGCAGTGCCAAATAAGTATATTTTCAGGAAATTTTTCTGTGTTTTTCAGTGTGTGTCTCAAATGTGTAGCTATTTTAGTGTATTCAGGTCTATATAAAAAATGTGTGTAAAATGAGAAAAGGGTCAGTGTTTATATAGAGTGAGGGAGTGAAAAGGGATAAGAATTAGGGTACAAAAGAATCTGCCAGAATTCTGTAAAAATAAGGGAAAAGGTATCTTTTTTGACAGAAATGGACAGCTGTCCCATTTCTAGTATCCTCCTTATCTCAGAAAATGGACAAGTGTCCTATTTCTGGATATTTTTGGACCTTATCCTATTTTCCTACTCAGCATTGGGACAGTTGTCCCTATTCTAGAAAGTTCTAGTACTTTCTGAATGATTTTCAGAATTAGGTTTCCAAAATTGACCCTTAAAGGTCTTGAAATTACCTCAGACCCAGATTAGTTCTAGGCCTGAGTCAAGTGACTCTTGGCCTGAAGAGCTTGGGCTCTTAAGTGTTTTTTTTAGCAAAGCTATGGGCATGCCAGGCCCAATCAATTAATAAAAATAAATAAAAGGAAATAGTAAATAAACAACAACAGAAACGAAAAAGAATAACAGTAAACAGAAAGTAAAAATGGAAAAATAAATTAATTTAACACTATTTTTTACTTTATCTTTATTAAATCCGTTTTAACTAATTAATTAATATAAATGAAATAACAAATAAAATACATAACAAAATACATTTAAGCCTTGATTTTATTTATTAATTAAGTCTATTTTAATTAATTAATTAATTTAAACAGAATATAACTGACAATAATAATTACTAATAAGGAAACTAAAAATAGTAAATAAATAACAATAAACAAATAACAGTAAACAAAAATAGAACAACAATACTGGAAATAAACACAAACAATAATAATAAAATAAAGGAAAACAGAAAAGACAGAAAAATAAATTAAAAGCTGAAGAACTCCTCTTTTTTAGATCTAGTTGCTAAAAACCCTCGCGCCAAGACTCTCTCTCAGAATCTAAGATCCTGAGTGAATATTCTTGTCGTGAGGATTATTATACAAACTAGGTTAAGCTCTTTTTTTTTATAATTTTTTTTTGGAGAACATATCAGCTCTAGCCGCTAAAACCCTCATGCCAATACACCCATATGGGATTTGAGATCCTTGATGGGAGATATTGGCACGGGGATCTTTAAACGAACTAGAAAAATTGAAAGGGAGCGGATCTAGGCTTTCAAGATTTTTAGATTTAAGATCTAGGGATTTTGGTGGGGTTTTTGGGGATTTGATTGGTAGGGTGAGGTTCAGGGAGGTGAGAAGAGTGTATGGTGTGAGTTTAAGGGATTTTACAGGTCCACCGCCGCCTTAGGCGATTTCCGGCGGCGGGGTTAGGGTGGCGTTAGGGTTTCAGCCATTTCTTAGGTTTAGATTTGTTTGTTTTTTGTGGGTTTGGTTGGTGGGGTGGGGTAGAGGAGGAAAAGGGGATTTGATTGAAGTTGGTTTGGGGTTATTTGGTTAAGTCCGATCGGCGGAGGCGATTTTCGGCCGGTGGCTCTAGGCGAAGGGTGGAGAGGCGGCTCGGGTTTGGTGGTGGTTTAAGGTGGAGGGAGATGGGGCGTTTAAGGATTTGGGGAGGCTAGGGTTTGGGGAATTGAGAGAGAGATGTGAGAGAGTGGGAGAGTTTGGAAATGGGGGGGGGGGGGGGAGTGGTGAAGGGTTTAGGACATTTTTATACTTAGGTGGAGGGGAGTTCAGGACCGTTAGATCTATTAGAGATCGACGGTCAAGATTTTAGGGGGAGGAAACGGTGCCGTTTAGGGAGAGATGGGGGCTGGGCTTGGGTTTTTTGGGTTAAGTTTGAGGTTTGGCTAATTTAAATTGGCCCGATTCGGCCAAGACCCCCATTTTTAATTTTAAAAGCTAATTAATTTAAATAAACCCTAGATTAAGTACTAAATCATCTTAATTTATAAAATTTAACTAATTATCTATTTGTATTATTTACATAATTAGTCAATCTTAGATTTAAAAAGGAGAAATTGCTAAATTAATACTAAAAGTTAAAAATGTCAAAAGAAATAATTTTTTATTTTATTTTCTTTTAATGAAGTGATTACAATAACAACAACGATCCAGTGAAATCCCACTAGTGGGGTCTGGGGAGGGTAGTGTGTACGCAGACCTTACCCCTACCCCGAAGGAGAAATAGGCATTAAATTAAATTAAAAACCTAATAATGCAAGATGATGAAGGTTTAAATATTTTTTGTTAGTTTTTTCATAACTTTTAGAAATAAATAAAAATAGATGCAACTAAAATGCAATAATTCCAAATAAATGCCAAAAAATCCTTAAGAAAATCTAAAAATAAATAGGGCAAATTTATTTATTAATTTTATAGGAATATTTTAATAAGGTAAAAATTACATGCTCACAGCTGCCCTTCTTTGCTCGGAAACACGAAGAGTTTTCGGGCAAAGACAAAGTGAGCAGTCACGAACGAATTTCACCCGTTTGGATACTCCATGAGAAGCGTTTCAAAAAAGTTTGAACGAACCTTGCTTTAAAGGTTGCCTACATATCCTTGGCTATAAAGGAATCAGGTCAGTGTAGTTTTGGAAGTTTTGGTAGCTGGGACTACCGGAAAGCTGTGATTTCACTGCTGCTACTGCTATTGAACTCCTTATTACACCAAAGTAAAAATGAAGAAAACTAACTAAACCTATCAGCTACGAGTTACAAGATTCCTATCTGTAAATTTTCGAAGCTTAGTCTTGAGTAATAACTAGTTCTTTATGTAGACTCTGATCTGGATCTTGATGCTTGTTAGCTGCAGGTGCTGGTTCAATCTTCTTCATCTTTTTCGGATCATGACGAGACATGCAAATTGGTGGCTTTAATCTTGTCTTGAGTAGTCCATATCTTCCCCACTTTTGTACTTTGGGTTTAACTTTTCTTTTTCTTCTTTTCTTTTACTCTGGATTGAGACTTCTTCTTTTGGTTGTCTCGAACCCAGTACTTTAAGGTATAACCTGCTCAGAAATCAAAACAAACGAAACTAACGAGATTTTCCTGCCCTAGTTTTTACTAGGAAAATTTCGTTAGTTATTTGTAACAAAAACTCTATACTACTTCATTATTGAAAGCAATAAAAGTCAGGATTGTGTATCCTTGGGAAAAAGAGATTAGGGAGTGGAGACCCTATGTCTAAAAAGTAAAATCAACTAGGGATTGGAAACCCTATGTTGGGAATATCACCAGGTTATGCTGGTATCAACTAGGGAATGGCGACCCTATGTTGGAAAGTCATCGGGTTATGCTGGCATCAACTAGGGCCCCTATGTTGGAAAGTCATCAGGTTATGCTATCATCAACTAGGGAGTGTGACCCTATGTTGGGAAGTCATCAGGTTATGCTGGCATCAACTAAAGAGTGGAACCCTATGTTGGAAAAGTCATCAGGTTATGCTGGTATCAACTAGGGAGTGACCCTATGTTAGAAAATCATCGGGTTATGCTGGCATCAACTAGGGAGTGGGACCCTACGTTGGAAAGTCATCGGGTTATGCTAGCATCAACTAAGGAGTGGGATCCTATGTTGGAAACGTCATCAGGTTATGCTGGCATCAACTAGGAAGTGGGACCCTATGTTGGAAAATCATTAGGTTGTGCTGGAATCAACTCGGGATTGGGACCCTATGTTGGAAAGTTATTAGGTTATGCTGGCATCAACTAGGGAGTGAGACCCTATGTTGGGAAAATGCAGTTAGGGATTGGAGACCTTATACTACCATGGCTTTGAACTTTTCTTCTTTTCTTTTCTTTTCTTTTCATTTTCCATCATTTCTATTTAAGAGAATGAGTAAAATGCAGGAAAGAATTTGGAGGAGACTTCCTTTTTGGATTGATTATTGCTGTAGAACCATTTTAGTTTCTGCGTGGTTTGCTTTTGTTGCACCTACTTCTTGCAAGGTTGCTTTGAATTACACCTGTTTTTTCCTATTTTTCAAGCAAAGAACAATTTGTCAGTTTGAAACAATGGTTGGTTTTTGTGGTCTTGAGCGTTTCAGTCACTCGATCTCGGCCCGGCTCCTTCGATAAAGATCTTCATTGCTTGCTTGCTCTCTGGGGATTGGTTTCATTCCTAAACTTGGGGATCTTGACTTTTCCAAAACTCTAACATGATGGTTAATCATATGGGACTTGACCTTTTCAACTTTATTTTTCCTTTGTGAGCATTTGACTTTGATTTCCTTTCTTTCAGGAGATTTTGATTTCAAAGCATCGACCATCATGGCCAGTCGAAGTCGACTCAATGCACCTGCCGAGGCTGGGTGCCTTCTTGAATACTGGCTTGTGTCAAACAAATACCCTGTAAACCAATCTCGCTATCTTTTCTTTGTCTTAGTTTTGAAATAGAATTAGACCGAAAGGGATTCAAAGAAAAACCAACAATGAAATGGACAAAAGAACTTAGACGAGAGGTATCCCTTTCGGGGGAAGAAAAAAAGGACTTATCTGGAGTGCATGCGGACTTAATGAACATGACATGCCTCTTGGACTGGACGTCTGATTTGTGTAAATCGTCCAACTCTCATAAATTCATCATAACTCGTACCTCAAAACTGAGAAACCTTTCCAGGACTCTGTCGATACCGATGGCTGTGATGATCTCCTTTTCGATCAGTGGCGCCCTTTGTGGGTTTTCACCAGCTGACCTCTCTCATTTCTCTTCTCACGGTCGCCTCATAGTGCTCTTTGCGAGTTTTCACTAACAAGACTTCTTATTTTCAATTTCTCTACTTACCATCGCCCTATGGTGCCCGTGTGGGTTTTCACCAATAATACTCTCTCATTTTATTTCTCTCGTTTGATTGTATCAGATCCAAGTAACCATACCTTTCAATTTGAACATCTTTACCAATTGATCTGAAGGACTTGAACATGGTTTGGATAAAAAGAATTTGAATTGAATTATAACTTTGGAACCTTTCAGGCAAAAACTATTACCGGATCATTGTAACTTCTGCCCCAGTTTCGACTTTGGGGAAATGTGGATTTTTGTTTTGATGTGACTGAACCCTAGAGAGAGGCTGCCTACGTATCCTTTCGGAATTAAGTCGTACGTAGTTGAAGGAAAACTTTTTTTTTGTTTATCTTTTGTTTTGTTTTGCTTCATGATTTTTTTATAACAACTTCTTGGTTCCAAATAGGGTAATCAAAGAAGAGTAACTGGCTCAAAGGGTTTGAAAAGGGTTGATAGTGTTTGGGTAGCGAGAAATGAAAGCCTTCGTCATCCCAATCGGACAGTATTAAAATCGTGTAAAAGGGTCAAACATAATACCTTTTGACCGCATCAACATTAACAGCTGTTTCGGGATCATTTCCTTCGATGTCTCCCAAATACAATGCTCCTTTTGGCAGCAGTTTTCTTACAATGTATGGGCCTTTCCAATTTGGAGCAAACTTTCCTTTTGCGTCCTCATGATGCGGGAGAATACGTCTCAGAACGAGTTGCCCCACTTCAAAGTTTCTAGGCCACACTTTCTTGTTGTAAGCACGTGCCATTCTTTGTTGATACAACTGCCCGTGGCAAACTACGACCATCCGCTTTTCGTCAATCATGGTTAATTCTAAATGGGTCTTGACCCATTCATCATCCTTAATCTCGGCTTCAACAATGATTCGAAGAGAGGGAATCTCAACTTCTGCAAGTATTACGGCTTCAGTGCCATAAACCAATAAATAGGGTGTTGCCCCAAATGATGTGCGCACGGTTGTGCAATATCCTAATAATGCAAAAGGGAGCTTTTCATGCCATTGTCTAGAACTTTGGATCAGTTTCCTGAGGTTCTTCTTGATATTCTTGTTTACTGCTTCAACATCACCATTAGCTTTAGGCCGATAAGGGGTAGAGTTACGATGCGTGATCTTAAATTTTTTGCATGCCTCCCTCATCAAATGGCTAGTCAGATTTGCAGCATTGTCTGTAATGATAGTTTTAGGAATACCAAAACGATAAATGATATTGGAATGTACGAAGTCTACCACCGCTTTCTTGGTGACGACTTTGAAAGTGACTGCTTCAACCCATTTTGTGAAATAATCAATGGCGACCAGGATGAATCTGTGCCCATTTGAATCCTTTGGTTCAATCGGCCCAATGATATCCATGCCCCAGGCAACGAACGACCAAGGTGCTGACATAGGATGCAACTCTGAAGGCGATGCATGAATCAGGTCACCTTGTATCTGACACTGATGGCACTTGTGGACAAAACTGAAGCAATCCTTCTCCATGGTCATCCAATAATAACCCGCCCGAAGGATTTTCTTTGCAAGGACATATCCGTTCATGTGGGGCCCACATGCTCCCGAATGCACTTCGTTCACGATCTTTCCAGCCTCTTGGGCATCTATGCACCTTAAAAGATTCAAAATCCAGAGTTCTTTTGTACAAGACCTCTCCGCTCAAGAAGAAACTGCTAGCTAGCCTTCTAATGGTTCTCTTTTGGTCTCCACTGGCTTGCTCGGGATATTCCTTTGCTTTCAAAAAACTTTTGATATCATGATACCATGGCTGAATATCTGGTTCTATTTTAACTGTATGCAATAACCATGTCTTTCTCGAATTTGGATCTCCAATGGGTCAATATGGACATTACCCGGATATCGCAACATTGCCGCTAAGGTAGCTAGCGCATCAGCTAACTCATTGTGGAATCGAGGGATGTACCTGAATTCAATAGACTTGAATCGTTTGCTTAGATCTTCCACATGTTGCTTGTATGGGATAAGCTTCATGCCCATAATGCAGGCTTCATACTCAGCGGTGTTGTTTGTACAGAAGAACCAGAGCTGGGCTGTGGCTGGATGTGCTGACCAGCGGGCGAAATCAAAATTTCCCCAATCCCGAAACCTTTTGCATTTACAGCTCCATCAAAGAACATTTTCCAAGCATTGGTGCCTTCTGGAATTACTTCAACTGAATTCACTTCCTCGTCCGGGAAGTAAGTACTTAGGGGCTGGTATTCATCATCAACTTGGTTCTTAGCTAAATGATCGGCGTGCGCGTGACATAAACAATTTCGAACTCAGTGAGAAGGATTTTCCATTTTGCTAGCCTTCCCGTGGGCATCAAATTTTTGGAATATGTACTTCAGGGGGTCCAATCTGGTTATGAATTATGTGGTATAGGCCAACAAGTAATGCCTAAGCTTCTGAGCGACCCAAGTTAGAGCACAACAAGTTCTTTCCAGCAACGTGTATTTGGCTTCATAACAGTAAATTTCTTGCTCAAGTGGTATATGGCTTGCTCTTTCTTCCCGGCCGCATCATGTTGCCCGAGGATGCAACCAAAAGAATTCTCCAAGACCGTCAAGTATAAAAACAAAGGCCTTCCAGGCTTAGGCGGAACCAACACCGGCGGATTTGAAAAATATTCTTTGATTTTATCTAAAGCTTCTTGACACTCATCCGTCCATTTAATTGCCGCATCTTTCTTCTACAACATAAATATGGGCTCACACGTAGTAGTCAGCTAAGCAATGAACCTGCTGATGTAATTCAATCTTCCCAATAGACTCATGACTTCTTTCTTGGTTCTCGGAGGTGGTAAATCCCGGATAGACTTTATCTTTATTGGATCTAACTCGATACCCCTCCGACTGACTATAAAACCCAGAAGTTTCCTAGATAGAACTCCGAATGTACACTTAGCTGGATTTAATTTTAAGTCATATTTGGGCAGACGCTCGAAGAACTTTCCCAGATCCCGCACATGGTCGTCCTGCATTTTGTATTTAATGATCACGTCATCCACATACACCTCAATTTCCTGGTGCATCATGTCATGGAAGATGGCAGTCATAGCCCTCATATTAGTTGCCTCGGCATTTTTTAAACCAAACGTCATGACCCGATAATAGTAGGTGCCCCCGGGGTGTGGTGAAAGTCATCTTTTCTACGTCTTCTTCATCCATTAGAACCTGGTGGTACCCAGCATAACAATCCACAAAAGACTGTATCTCATGTTTGGCACAATTGTCGACAAGAATATGGATGTTTGGCAATGGAAAGTTGTCCTTTGGGCTTGCTTTGTTCAAATCCCGATAATCAACGCACACTCGGGTTTTCCCGTCCTTCTTCGGTACTGGGACCACATTAGCCAACCACGTGGTGTATCGGACCACTCGGATCACACCAGCTTTTAACTGTTTGGTGACTTCTTCCTTGATCTTATCACTGATGACCATCTTAAACTTTCTCTGCTTTTGTTGGACAGGTGGGCAACTAGGAAAAGTTGGCAATTTATGTACTACCAAATCAACACTCAGTCTTGGCATATCATCATAGGACCATGCAAACGTGTCTTTGAATTCGAACAAAAGCTGGATCAATGCATCTCTAGTTCTTTCATTGGCGTGAATGCTTATCATGGTTTCCCGGATCTCTTCTAGACTACCCAAATTGAATGGCTTAGTTGTTTAAGTTTGGCTTAGGTTTATCCTCAAAATTGTTCGAGTTCTCGATTTATTTCCCTAAAAGCCTCATCTTCGTCGTATTCCAGTTCTTGATTCATTATTTCACAGTTAGACAGCGTGTTAGGATCTGGGCATGAAGTCTGCATGCATGTCATGTTATTTAAGTCCGCATTATTACAACTGAAAAGAGAAAGATACGAAAAATAACAAAATCAGAAAGAATAATAGAAAGAGATTCATAGTCGATGAAATATTGATTTCATTTTATTGAATTTGAAAATAGAAGGGTTTACATCGGAATCAAAAGACAACAAACTAAAAACATTTGATTATACCCTGAAATAATTGGAATGCAGAAAAGATGGCAAGACTAAACTACCGGGATTCCCGCCTGACTAGGAATGGAGTAGCTTTCCAATTTTAAAGTTTAGCATTTGGCCCCATGTATTGCACCTCAGCAGTGCTTGAGCCTTCGCCCGGTTGGACCATGTGAACCTCGTACAACATTTGCCTCATTGCCCCACAGATATCCTCAATTTCTTCGGTCGTGAAGGCCTCTTCTTCTTCTTCTTCTATATACCTTGGCTTAACAAATGACCTGGCGAGGTGCGGGACTGGCTGAGGCAGGGCCCACCCATTTTTCCTTCATTCATCAGCCCATTTTAGTCGGCCTCGGTAGCTTGAAAACATATGCCAAAGAACTTCTCGTTGACCATCAAAGTGACGGGCTCTGTGATGCCTTGTAAGGATACCCCGAGCCCTTTCCCAAGCTTGTACCCATGTTTGATCATTTCACTGGAAACCATGATTGATGCGTTCGATAAGTAGGGTTGAGGACATGGGGTTCCTTCCTCGCACTGGTCGGCGACCACGATTTCAAAGGCTTGGTAGACGATGTGTTCACTACCCTCTCTAGCCTCCAAGCATGGGACTGACGGGTCCCTGTAGATTGACTGTTCATCTTCTCCGTGGACAACTATTTCTTGGTTTTCATGTTCGAACTTGACCATTTGGTGGAGAGTAGAGGGCACGACTCCCGCGGCATAGATCCATGGTCTTCCTAAGAGAAAGTTATAGGAAGTGTCCATGTCTAGAACTTGGAATGTTACTTCAAAATCTACAGGGCCAATAGTTAGGACCAAGCTAATTTCCCCTATCGTATCCCGCTTGACACCGTCGAAAGCATGTATGCAAATATTGTTACGTCTGATCCTCTCATTCTCAATTTCCATCCTTTGTAATGTTGATAGAGGGAAAATATCAACTCCAGACCCACCGTCTAACATAACCCTTTTCACATAATATCCTTCACACTTGAGAGTCAAGTAAAGGGCTTTGTTGTGGGCGGCTCCTTCTGGAGGCAAGTCATTTCGGCTGAAGGAGATTCGGAACATATGCCTCATTCAACGTCTTTAGAAGCACTTTTTGATGTTCATTTGAGCTTATCTGCAAGGACAAAAGTGAAACCTGGGAGGAAGCCTTTCTAAGTTGATCAATTACAGCGTACTCTGAGGTTTTCATCTTCTGGAAAAATTCCTCCGCTTTTTCAACGCTAACCGGCTTCTTGAGTGGAAATCGCTTATGCTTTGTTTTGTTCAATTCTTCTGGGTTGAGATACTTCCAGATTGGTTTGTTTCATTTACTTCTCCCATAACTTCCTTTCCTTTGTATGTGACCACTGTCTTATTGTAATTCCAAGGGACGACAATTGGGTCTCTTATGGGTTTCTGTGGTGCGCGGCTAATGACCACAGGCTCATCCAACCTGGGTGGAGTTGTTGGTCTTCACACCACGTAAGTCCCTTTTGGTACATACATCTTTGGCACATTCAGTGTGGCTTTCTTTTGTTCAAATCTTTTAGGAGGGCTCAACATGAGTTGTTCCCTCCTGGGGGCCCTAGGAACGTAAAGAATGGCATCTTTGGCAGGTGTTGCCCCTGTCTTTGTTTCTACCGCCTTTTCTGCATTTTGGGGAGTGGAATTTATCTTCTTCTCATTTCTAGCCTGTTTTGCCACTACTTTGGGTTTCTTTTCTAGGTCGGCGATGGCAATGATAGCTTTTAATGCTAGGCCGAGTTCTTTGTCCTCACAGATCATCCCGATAACTGGCCCATTGTTGTGAGCCGGTAACGGGTTATTGGTTACATTAGGGACTTACTCTTCCCTTAGCACTAACCCGCTTCTGTTCTATCAGATTCTCGACTGCTCTCTTAAGGGTCCAAAAATCTTCAGTGTCATGCCCTTCCGCCCCTGAGTGATAAGCACACCTGGTACCTGGTCGGTAAGATGGTGATTCCGCATCCTGTCCGTTTGGAGATATAGGTTGCAACAGACCCATTTGGACTAATGCGGGAATAGGCTGGAATAAGACTCTGCAGTAGGGGTGAAGTCAGCCCTCCTAGGTGGTTCACGGGGGCGTGTGTTATATGGGTAATTGTTCTGTGGTGGACGAGGACTATACGGAGCTTGGTTAGGAGGGTTATTTTGTTGGAGGTGGAGCTCTATTTTTGTTATAATATTGTTGTGGCCGTGCGTATGTTGGGCATTCATTACCGTATAAGGATGCGGGGCCATAGCATATGTTGCATACTGGTGGAGGTGGTAATGCTGCGGGGTCCTGGAAATGGGACCAAAATAATCTCGGGGCTGACAAGAGTTTCTCAAGCTTGAAGCCGTCATGGCTCATTCTTCTTTCTTCTTCCGGTTTGCTAAACCTCCCGAGCCGCTCTGGATGGCTTGGGAAGTGGCTCTTATAGCTGATTGACTTATGATGCGGCCTGTTTTCAGGCCATTTTCTACCATTTCTCCAATCTTTATGGCCTCCGCAAATGGTTTGCCCATGGCAGACATCATGTTTTGGAAATAATCGGCCTCTTGGGCCTGTAAGAAGACATTGACCATCTCGGCCTCATCCATCGGTAGTTTTACCCTGGCCGCTTGTTCACGCCATTTGATAGCGTATTCACGAAAACTTTCCGAGGCTTTCTTTTTGAAGTTGGTCAAAGAATTCTTGTCGGGAGAGATGTCCACATTATATTGAAACTGCCTTACAAAATCCCGGGCCAGGTCATCCCATATGTGCCAATGGGATATATCATCCCATATGTGCCAATGGGAGATATCTTGGTCCATATACCACTCAGAAGCAATTCCGGTAAGGCTCTCTCCGAAATAGGCCATTAGTAGCTCCTCTTTTCAACCAGCACCTCTCAACTGGTTACAATATCATTTTAAGTGAGCGATCGGGTCTCCATGCCCATCATATCTTTCGAACTTTTGCATTTTGAAACCAACGGGTGAATGCACGTGAGAGAACATGCACAGATCA